TTTAATCAATGCCGCAAACGCTTTAAAAACAGCTTGAAAATTACTTTATTGCATTCCAGATGCTTTTAAAGAACTTTTTACTATAAATTTTATGAGTAGTTTGAATGTAAAGCATTGTCATGAATTCGTTGTATTCCCATTTGTAAAACAGCCTAATTAACTGTTGTAGGCTAACCCGATCTCATGTTGAAGGTGCATATAGCTCGATTTTCTGTTTCTTTTTGGCGTAATATTTATATGCAAAAATTGACTTTCGTGTGCAAAAGGCTGATAAATTCATAATTAATGGCATGGCTGGTTCAGTCGACAGAAATACGGGACACATATAGCTACTAACTGCTGAAATGTTTGCAAGGCAAATCTCAGGTCAGTCTGAGCGCTCATGGAACACACAGTGAGTACAGCCGTACACCTGCAGGCGCCACTGACAGCAAGTTCAGCAGTACAGCAGGTAAGTAGGCCTACAGCTGGATGCAGGAAATGGTTGAGTATTCTTTTAGGTATAAAATATCTTTATTATAATGCTTGTAATGTCCATTTATAGTCTTTACACAGCAGCTTGGCTCCTTAAATGTTTAAAAACCAGCTAATTTCAAGACGCTGACGTCACGTCTGGTAGTCACGTGGGTCACCCGCAGTGTAAGACGCTCAAAGCTCAAGACGTTCAGATAGACGTTCGGTTTGACGTTCGATCGGTCGGTCGGTCGTTCGAACGTTTGATTTTAGCATGGAATACGCTTCATATATTTCTCTGTTCACGCTCCACTTCATCTGCCAGTGAAGCCATACTGTCTTGCCTGCACTCGAGACGGTGACGTGTGAGCGCCACTGACAGATTCTACTCCTATGGACCCTTTTCACAAGACTGTGATGACGCGTTTAATGGTCATCAGCATCGTAAATCCTCGAAAGTTTTTCATATTTGTATTTTTTTTTTAATGTATCTACATTTATAACACTATTCTTTGTATTATATCACCTTTGCATCAAATTACAAAAAAACTGTTAAGGCTAATGCGCGGGTGTTTCTAACGCAGCGTCTATGGGAGGGACGGTAATCTTGACATCGTTCTCTCTTCTGACAGCCGTTATCAGTCTCTCTTAATTTTTTTCCTTTTATTGAAATTCATGAAAACACTATC